AAAAGCACTTTACACTTGAAGGAAATCTCAAAGTGCTATAGAGTTAAAACAGGGGCATTAAAACAACAATCACAAAGCCATTTTAAGGTGACTACAACTGAGAGCAAGAAGATTGAAAACATGAGCTCAGTTGAAGTTTCTTGTGTCAATTTGTGGTGTTGGAGGTTCTTTTAGGTGGGGAGGGGCAGTCAGGGACAAGAAGCCAGTGTTATAAATGCAAGATGGGTGTGATATTTCTGCACTTTCAACGGGATCCTTTCAGCACTGTTCTGGATGTATTGACCCTTCTTTAGGCTACAGATGACAAGATGTGTATTACAGTCGTCTAACCTGGAAGAGACAAAGGCGTTTATCCCTAATCAATAACTTCTACTCGTCACGTGTTATTTTATTTTTTTTAACTACTGGACTTTACTATTAAAGCCTACTCAATTTTAATTAATCGATTGAATTGCTCTTCTGTAGTATTGCTTTATTTTCCTGCCTTTATCTGTTTTTATTCTTTCTGCCTACATATTTATTGATGTTATCGTGTTTTTATGTTGTTATCCCCTCTAATGGTTCCTACTCTTTTTAGTTGCTTACATCATCTGGTCCTCCTGCGGTCTCATTTCATGCTGTTGGGTTCTTGTGTTGTCTGGGTTCTTACGATGGTTTTTTATAAAGTTCTTTGAATTATGTTCGTTGAATATTTTGTTGTGTGGTTATTGTATTGTCTTTGTCTTTTGATGTTTCTTTGCTTAATGTTACTTTTATACTTTGTAAACCTGTGTTTTTAAAGGTGCTATATGAATAACATTATTATTGTTATTCATTTTTCAGCATCTGGAAACTGGAGTCAGAACCTTTTATTGCTCTTAAGAGTCTTCAATCCATTGTAATGCTAACTTAATTACCAGCATTTCTCCAGTGGACACAGATAACTCACTCCTTTTACACTTGGCCAGGTTCTTTAAAGCACTCATATAAATCTGAACAAGGCTTTAGTTGTTTTTGTTTTTAATGTATACCTGTATTGGTCGTCAGCTTTGTGCTATCATCATTCGATGGAGACGAGATGGAGTCATTATGAGGAAGAGGCATCTTTCTTCCATCTTTAGTTTTCCAAGAAACACTTGTGACTTGTGACTATTTACCACTTTCCTTACATGCACACGCATGACTTTCAAGGAAATAACTTGGCACCCTGTTTCTTCTGTCCCCGCACTTCTCTGTTTTGTGACTCTGCATTTAAAAAAAAAACTACATGTCAACATTTTAGAGAAAATGCAGAATTAATAATGTAAGTTAATTTGTCATGTTGTATGGTTGAGTGTTTAAAGGTCACAGGAGGAACAGAAAGTCGATTGGGTGGAGGGAACGTACTGTTACTGTAAACGGACATAAATACCGGCGGCAACAATCAATCATTACTTCATATCATCATCACGGTTTGTCTGCTTCATCTTTTGCAATAAATGGGAAAATCAGCCAAAGTCATTTCATTTTAGACATTTTATTTTATTTTTGGCGCGCATCAAGAACTTTCCATACACCTGTACAAGTGACTCAAAAAGTTTGATTAGAACACTTGGACTTCAGATAGTCACTACAGTGTTTGATAAATTATTATTTTAACTCTCATAGAAAGCTGGCATGGAAAAGTTTCAAATTGTTACAAATTTCATCCATATCCTAAAATTAAACATTATTCATATCAATTCATAGAACTGTGTAAATATGATGAACAGATTGTAGATAAGTGCTTCAGTCTAACCAGTTACAGTAACTGTGTTCTTCACATGTGCTGAGTCACACTTCAGCCAACCTCTTTGAAAGTATGGTTTATATCACTAGGGTTTAGTCTAAGATGGTTTATAAAAAAGATGCAGTAAACCTAATACAAATATGTATAGGGTATAATTAAAAACATGTAAAATATTCCACTCTAAATGAAAATATCAAGACTTCATGTTTCCCATTATTAGATTTAAAGGTTTAGAGTGTGTTTATTTTCATCTAAAATATTCAGGAATCATGGAGGCCTATTGCCTTGGATGGCTTATTTCTTGATTTCATCCAAACGTTTCTCTAGTTTCCTCTCAGAACATTTGAAAATCTCTATTCAAGCTCAAGTCCATTTACCATTATCTATTTTAAATTATGTGCACAGTTTCTAAAACTGTGCCCAAAGACAGTTGGCTTCGAGTCCTCAATATCCCCTTCTGCCACCTAGTGGCCACAGTAAGTCACATAATAACTCCTCTGATGACATGATGTGTAAGAAGGAATGATTAAGAGGGATTCAAGGAACAATGTATAGGTAGATTTATGCCGTTTTATGAGAAATTAATTAAATGAAGGATTGGAAGGAGTTCATCAGAAAGTTTTATAGATCAAAAAAAAAATTAAGGTAGAATTTTGAGTCCTTTATTATTTTCTGTTATGATGAAAAATGTGTTTTGAGACAGTAAAAGTACAGTTGTCACTCATTGTCTTGTCCTGTTCTCCTTAAATCTCCATACCATACCATAACCGGCTCCAGCCTCGGCCTGCAGCTGTCTTACAATTCAGACTGGACCAACCTTTACCTCCAGCAACATCTAGTCTGCTGCCTTCTCAAACTCATCCTCTGACCCTGCAGGTCTTTCTTTTTTACCACATATCTGAATGTGACAGTACATGATGCAAAATGGCAGCTAACCTGCATTATGGAAGCAAGTGCGTAAATACATCTTGATTAGTTCTTCTCCAAACGATTCTATGTCTATGTTGTTGCCCTGGAGTTGAGGAGCTGGACAGCCCTAGGAACAAAGGTTGCTCTTCTCCTCTGTGTCCTGCGAAATCGGCGTCCTGAGGGGAGCCACTCAAACGCTGGGAAGAGAGCGTGTGAGGGATCCTGCATAATCCGACCTGCTAGCCTCATTGTCTGTTGCTCATAGATCGATGTCAGAGTCCTTACAGGAAGTCCAATGATCTTAGAGCAGACTGTGACCGTGCTCTGCAGGCGGTTTCTGTTCTGGAGGGTGGTGGAGTGGAACCAGCAGGTTATAGAAAATGTAATAATGCTCTCAATGAAGGAGTAGTAGAAGGTCAGAAGAATGTTCTTACTGACTCCAAAGGAATTGAGCTTCCTTAGGAGGTGTTTTCGCTGCTGACATTTCCTGAGAATCTCCTCGGTGTTGGAGGAGAATTTCAGCAGGCTGTCGAAGATGGTACCCAGGTACTTATACTCCTCTCCTAGTTCGACAGGATTCCCATGGATTGTGGTGATTGCAGCTGCAGCCAGTTCCCTCTGCTTGTTGGAGAAGGTCACCACCGTGTCTTTGGTCTTGCTCACGTTCAGTTCGAGGCAGGAGCTGTCACACCACTCCACAAACTCCTGAAGAACTGGTCCATGGTGCTGAGAGGGGCCTGACAGCAGAGACAGGAGAACTGTGTCGTCCGCGTACTTCACCAGGTGACAGTTTGGCTGTGTGGTTCTGCAGTCATCGGTGTAGAGGATGAAGAGCAGAGGTGAGAGCACGCAGCCCTGAGGGGGAGCCAGTTGAGGTGTGTTGGAGACTGGAGAAGGTGTTGTTGACCAGAACTCTCTGTGATCTGTTGGTCAGAAAGTCCAATATCCACAGGATAAGCTGGTCGTTCAGATGGAAGAGTCATCTCTCTCTCTCTCTCTCTGCAGGTTGTTGAGGTCCTTTAACCTCACCCGGTTACAGCGGCTTCTCCCAATCAGTGGCATGCGTCTTGTTCTTTCTTTTTCAATGAGTCTGTTCTTAAATGAATTGGGGAGAATGACATCTCGCTCCCATGTATGCTGACAGTATATAATGGACATGACTATAAACTGAATCTTGAATCTTGAATGACTGACAAAACAAAAAGTGAAAGCAGGCTGTGTCCTCTGTGAGAGAGTTTACCCACAGGAGAAGAAGCAGAGCAGGAGCAGTGAGTTATAAGCAATGCTTGAAAACCAGAATAAAACAAAAACAAACCTCAGAGTTTAGTTATGTATACTATATGTATAGAGTATAGAGAGTGAGTTGCTAAACCCTCCAACAGCGAGTCTGCACCGACGCAGGTGAAGCACCTTTCATTGTTTGTCATGGAAGACGATCCTTACATCAAAGTTCTGTGTTATCAACCACATAAACTTCAACACATTTGAATGAAATAATAAGAGTAGTATCTTACAGATATAAGATTAAAAAATGTTAACATTATAATCAAAATGTAATGAATAACTTTCTTCTTGAATATGATGTGTTTATTTTACTGTGAAGTGTTTTTATGTTAAAAGATACAGACAATAACTCATCATCTTATAAACTTCAGATTCAATCAATAAGATGTTGAAAAAAAGAAATGGCACCAAGCAGCGGCTGTGGCTCAGTTGGCAGAGTCGGTCGTCAGAAGCCGCTGCAATCGGAAGGTCGAGGGTTCGATCCTGCAGCAACATGTCCGACGCGTCCTTGGCAAGACACTTAACCCCTAAATGCTCCCGCTGCTACTTCTGGTGGTCAATTTGCATAGCAAACTCCGCCATCAGGGTGTGAACAGGTAGGTCTGACACAAAGCAAAAACGTTTTACGAGCTCAAGTCCATTTACCAAATATTTAGGTGTGTTTTTTTTATCATGTCGCAGAGTGGAGTGTGAGGGAGCAGTTTGAGAAAGGCCCTTTGTTTGTTTCTAAAAATTGTCATCACCAAGATTAGTCATCAGTTCCAATATTGTGACCGCGATCGTTTGGCTTTGCTTTCTTCGGAAACCAATTGGAGATGTCACTGAGACTACGTCCATGTTTTATACAGACTATTGTTAAAACATGTAACTCTCAGCAAGAGAACACAAATACTTCCAAAAATGTCAAATTACAAATCTGCCTTCCTCACAGACATGCATAACTACCGATTACACAACACGTACCACACATCAGTAATTTAAAAATCCCTGTGACCTTAGAAAAACAGTGAGTTTTAATGAGGATTATACAATAAATAATGGAACTGAGCATCAACAGTGGTTTAATTAAGAACAAAGTGAGTCTTTATTTAGGTTCTTCCTCTGAGCTTCATAGACAAAAAGTTTTCAGCAACAGAAACACAAACACATTATACATGCACACAGTCCATTGATCATCATTCAGTGTGTACACAACTTGTCAGTGTCACACATTGGAAACTGGAAACAGTGGTCCCAATTGTTTGGGTTTCAGATTAGTTGTTTTATGAGTTTTATTATTCACCTCATGCGATGTATTGTACAGTATATGTTTTTTCCGTTTCCCTTTGCTGCAAGATAAAACGGTAAAACTGAATGATGATCAGTGTGTGTTAATGTCATCTGGCTGCTTCATAGACTCCAGCCGTCAGCAGAGAGAAGTTAAGTCTGGAGCAATTGAGACAATGTGCAGGAGTTTGCCTCCAATTGTTGGTAATTAAAAACAAGAACTGACCCAATATTGGGTACCTATAGGATTTCTATTTTTGTTGCCATGGTGTCTAAGAATGCATTGATTGATTTTTCCTAAAATAGACTCCAAATCTAAAACTGACAACCCTAGTTTAATCTGCAGAAAAATAAGAACATCACAAAAACACATCAAGTACAGATATCTCACTCTGCACCACAGTCTTACAGTCTAACAACAAGTGTGCATGCCTGATAATACGTTTCCTTCATAGACAGTAATCTATTCCAATTCCCATATCTGTTTGATTTTACGGCCTCTAGTTTGAACCAGTTGACAATTAAATATTTTGTTCCATTCATTTAATGTCACAAATTAAATAAATAAAATAATTAACCACAGAAAAAGGGACTTGTTACAGATTGAAAACTAAATTAAAACCACTAAAGGGAACAGTAAAAGAGAATGTTTGATGTCATAAAGGTGGATATTACTTTTGACTCCTCAACTAAGCTGTAACGCAGTTTGTTTGTATTAAAGTGAAATGAGACATTCATTCAGAGGCTCAGCAGTTGTACGGTGTGTCTAAAGGCTCAAAATAGCATTCAATGAACGCGAAAAAAATAATTAAAAGCATTAATTTCAGACCTTAATTATTGGCAATAAATGCATTAATGCTGACAGCCCTAGTAAATACATTGTGGAGAAAAGACTTCCTGAAAAGAGAGTGAAGTCATACATTTTTTCCCTGTCCTATCCCTGCAACCATGTGGGAGAAGGGAAGAGAGACACCCCCCCCCCCCCCCCAACATGCACTGTCATCCACCCTGCTGACAGTTACACTTCTACCTGTTTGTGAGACACTTCAAAATACAGCTCATTACTTATTTACAACTAATCTCCAGAAGAAGAAGGTATCAGGTGGCATCAGGACATCGATATAGTTTGAGTCTTTACAAGAGATTTTTCATTTTTAGTATTTTGTTTCTTTGTAGTCATTTTTATAACTTTTAAGCTGTTCTTCTCTAATTCTGTCTTTGACATCACTTTGTAGCTCTTTTAGCATTTTTAAATCAAATTTAACAATATTTCTCATTTTAAAAGGAGCTTACTCATATGAGTGCGATATGTGGAAAATGTAATCAACTTGATAATATTATTTTGGAAATTGACAGTCCATACTTATTGTTATTGTTGTGTTTTTGAAATGATTTGTTTTAACTGGGAATTCTTCATTTTGTTAATTTTCATGTTTTTACTGTCTTCTAACTTTTTAATTCTTCTTACTGAACTCTTCCTTGAACACTGTAGCCTTTTGAGACCTGATATATCAACCTTCACGATCAATAATGATAATAATCATAAATACTAATTCAATTAGTTGTCAGTCAACAGGTTTTAGACATTATTGTTTGTATTTACTGTTTATTCTAAAATGTAAATGTGTACACAACGTCTTTGCCTTAAGGAGTCTTTTAGTCACTGGTTTTAACACAGCAGGTGTACATGTTTATTTTAAATTGTTGACCTTATTTATGTTTTGATGTGTGATTTATTGGTTGTTATTTTCATTTTAAAGTAGTCAACAGAAATATAATCAAAGAACATTAGTGAACATATTTTATACTTCTGCGTCTATTTTTTTCCCTTAGGTCTTACTATGTATTTGTGGAAAAAGGTACTCCATAAAAATAAATTGAAGAATCTAAAATGTTTAACATTTAAAAAGCTGGTCATTGCTTTTTCTTAAGATGCAACAGACATGAAGTGATGAAAAGTCTTTGAAAAGTTGATGGACCTCAGTGATAAAATGTAACGTCGTCAAACTAGAGGACTGGACCTTTAAATTACTGCACAGCATCAGTCAGAGTCAGGACTCCACCTCAGATCAGTCTGAACTAGAAATCCAGTGAGGAAACACAAACCTGTGTCTCTGTTTCTTCTTCACATTTCTTTCAGCTGATGATGAAGACTCTGGGTCCATCCTCTCTCATCGGAGGAAGACTCTCTATCATCATGTTGTCCATCAGTCCATATTTATCTTCTTTTGTGTTTCTACTTCTTCCTCCTCCTCCTCCTGCAGCTACTCCTGCAGCTCCTCCTGGTTGTACATTGGCAGAAACCTCGCCTGCAAGCTCCTCCCTCTCGACCGTGAGGGTCAGCTGATTGGTCAGCTCTTTCATCGTTACCTGCGAGACATTTGAGAATGTAGAAGTATGTAAAAAGCTGCAACATTAGAGTTATTATATAGTTTCATTAAGGGATGCATTACAACTTGCTAGCTGTCAAAGCTTAGTATTGTTGGGACGATTTAAACCCTGGGACAAATAGGAAAGTTACATCATGAATCTAAGAGCACTGAGGGTGTGTTCAGGCTAACTGCTCTTTGAGGGCGCACTGAGACGTGGGTACTTCAGAGGACGATCCACCTGATTTTCACTGACATTTTAATAGATTGGTAAGGGCTAGTCTTACAGTTCAAAATGCAAAATGACTTGAGGAAAATGATAAATCAAATGCAGATTGAATGGCCAAAGGTGTCAGGCATGTAAGCATCATGAGGCGGCAAGATGTAGGTTTGGTAATTTAAGAATATGGACCACAGCAAACACACATTAAATATTTGACATGCGGAAAAGCATTGCAGAGAACATCAAACCTTTTCAAAAATCGTATCTTTTTTTTTTATTATTTTCTTAATTTCTATGGAAGGTTTTGTTTGGATGTTTGCTTGTTTATACAAAATTGAAACAAACTTTATGAAGTTTTTAACTACCAGTGGCTTTAAACAGTCTCAACTGTTTTGTTATGTTGTGTTTCTCTGCAGATCTTCTGCAATAAATGTTTCTTTCCGTTTTGTTTTTTTGGCATGTGCATCTCTGTTAACATGTGGATTGTTGTTTGTTTTAATGTATTAATATAATAATATAGTAACATATCATATATCATCATATATAAAGTATTGTAGAGTATGGTATTGTATCCTACTATACAGTATAATATAATAGAGTTTAGTATTGAACATCTACACCCACCCCCTCCCATCTGTGCTCCCTCAAAAGCCACGCCCCTCACTTACATGCACAAGCGCCATTGGTCCAGAAGCAGAGCTCAGCTCACGCTTTGAGTGTGGGCTCGTGCATGCATGGGGTAGAGAACGAGCAGGGAGACAGGGAGGCGTGATTGGTTCATAAAAATGGCACCTCGTGCAGACATTGGTCAAAGTTTTTACAGGCTTACAACTGCTACAGATGACAGATTTTCTTTGTTCCTTTTTCAGAGCACATGAGTTATTAATTTCTGTCAGGACCTAAAAGACAATTTCAACCAAAATCTTAAAAAGTGTTTCTTGAGAAAATTACCAAACCTACTTTAAGTTGTGGAAAATTGCATGTTCTTCCTTTAAGATTTTAATGGCTCTTAATTTTAGCCAAAAAACAACAACAAAAATGTGTAGGCCATGGAGCACCAACCTGCAGGTCTCTGAAGAAGTGGAGCATGGCCACGCCCACCACAATGACAACAAAGGCTCCCAGCGTGGTGACCACATCCACGATGGCCATGCTCCTCCACTCCTGGAAAAGAATGATGGAGGAGCACAGAACCACAGAGGTGAAGAGGACATAGTAGATGGGGTATACCAGCAGGGTGTTGAAGGTGTCCAGGACTTGTTCAGGTAGTTCACCTGTAGGTAAGGGTGAAAGGAAGATTATGAAAGAAACATTTCCAGTCATTTCTTTTCAACAAAAGTAGGTCAGTCCAGCTCTAGTCCAGAAAACTTTAGTGACTGGGAGCTCAAGTCCTATTTTTGCAACTAAGTTACATTTTTAAAGCTATGTTCACACTCTTTCTTCTAGAGCAAAGAGCTCCTTAAGTATTAAAAATATGCCACAGACCTGAAGACCAGCTTTTTAGGTCAGCAAAATCAGTAGAAAATACACTTCATGAGGATGAAACTAACTACAGCTCACCTGTGTTATTATGGAGACAACAAGAGTTAGCAACAGGATCCAGGTAAGGGGATTAGCGAGCACTGCAATATCATAAAACACTACATGGAGAGGGGGAAAAAACTGTGTTAAAAGGAGTACAGATTTATCTTTGCACTTCAAACACTAGCATACTCATGATGATAACTTTAGAAAAATAGATGCAGCAGAAAGACTATATCCTATTAAAACTTCTTTATTATAAAAACATATGAAAGCAAACATCCCCAAATGAAACTATACCACCAAAAGTTCAGTTCTAGTGTTTTAGACTAAAAATGGCTAATAAAGAAGTGAATGTAGGGAGCACTGGTAGCCTAGTGGTTAGTGTGAGTGCCTCTGGTACGAAGGCCATAGTCCTCCAAATGAAAGCCCGGGTTTGAATCCTTCCCTGCATGTGATTGCCAACTGTATGCATCACATCACAAAGCCTGATGTAAAGGATTAACAAAGCCTACATTATTGGCTTACAGTAGCACTATCCTGTTTTTTAAAGTGTATACCCTATCCATTAGTACCCTGATACAAATTAAAGGGTCATTTTGGCTAGTTAGAAAAAAAAAAAAAAAACAGACAAGACCAGTCCAGAGTGTCTTTTAGTTGAACCCAATGCTTAAAGAGAAGTTTTTCAGGTTGCCATACTAACAGCTTGTCAACCCCAGGGTAAATCCTCCCCTGCTTTCTGGTCTATTTATCTCTAAACAGGTTTGTCATTTCCAAAATAAACTTCAAGCTGTATCAGAGAAGACTTGAAACTAGACGTTAAGACCATAAGGAAAATGTTTACCTAGGGAAATAAATCAACTGACAAGTAGGACCATTTTATCAAAGACATCTACGATACAGTTTTTAAAGGTTTCTATGTGACTGACTGCTAAGTCGACACTAGGGAGCCTTATGGACAGAAACCCCCCCCAAAAGATTAGGTAACGAACACATTCGATGGCCAATTTCAATCAACTTATTCATATTTATTTGTAAAAGCACCCATTTATAACACGTTATCTCAAAACACTTTACAAATGAGCTGGTAAAAGATCTTACTCTTTGTTATATTATCTATAAAGACCCAACATGAATCCATCATGAGCACTAGGCGACATTTATCCTAGTTACAGTACAGAGGCAAGGAATAACTGCTTTGATGAGATAGAGAGAGATGCAGAAAGAAAGAAATGAATAGAGAAAAAGAGCAACAACAAACAGCAGCAACAACAACAACAACAACAACAACAGTGACTGAGATCGATTTATAGCTTCAATGTCTGGAGGAACATCAAATGTTATTAGCACAAAAAAAAGAGTAAGTGCAAGAACAAATTCATTTTCTGTTAGTCTTCCCACATGTTTTTAATGGATTGGTTTTTAGTTTTGATTTCTAGGCATTGATAGTGTGTAAGAAGATGGTGATGTCGTCTGTCTCTTACCGGTGTTGATGACGATGGCGAGGCCCTTCACAGAGGAGACGGTAAAGGCTCCGAGCAGCGAGCAGATGCTGATGTAAATGAGGATGTTGGAGCGACCGACCCGTGGAGAGAAATACAGCACGAGCACAGCACACAGCACCAACACCACCGACATGTACACCAGGAAACCTAATACACACACAGTACACAGTTGTCACCGAGAATTCAGAGTGGAAGTAACAGCAATATAATTATAGATCCACATTCCTCTCCAGTGGTTTAAGAAAGTCATCAATGTCATTAGTTCTGCAGACATTTGTTTGTAAACCAAAGATTTGGAAACATTATCAATTCTGACCTGAACATAGCTCACATGCAGATTCAGAGGATAACAGAAGTGATAGAGAACCATCTGAACAAAATCCATTAAAACTTGCAAGGAATGACAAAGTTTGTGATTCACAATATTAACATGGTGACCTGTTCTATAAAAGACTTGTAAATGATATACGTTTAGGTAATCTGTCAAGTTGTATTCATTTTATGGCTTTCCAATCAGCAACTGAAAGATAATGTGTAATAAACAAGTGACTTCTGGCTTTAATTGAAGTTAGTTATTAATTATAAGATTTGATAACCAATAAGCTGTCTTAAGATGGCACAAATATTAGCATCCGGCTACTTCTTAGCCAACTCTGTAGTTTGATAATGTTACAGGATACAACAGGGAAGGGCATGGGCAGTTCTAGGCAGGGGCCAACAGGGCCCTCTGTGGCCACCCCTCCAAAAGGAGGAGACCCCCAAATAACAAATACACAGTATTTGAATCAACAACTGGACTCACAATCTAGTATTAAATACTGTTACTGAAACAAATATAAATCATGGTATTTTATGTTGTGGTATTTAATGATGTGCGCTATTCATTGGCATAATACATATATATATAGTTATTTTTAGTGACCATCTTTGTCTATTTTTCACCTGCCACCACTGGGGAAGGGAATAAAGCAGTAGATTTATGTTAACTAGCTTCAATAGCTAGTGTGAATAGAAGAGCTGAGAAGTTTGTTGAATGCTATTTTTAGAAATTTGTGACTTAGTCTTTACAAGTTAAAAGCTTGTAAAATATGTTGTTTTACCTTAAATTATGACTAATTGTCAATTCTATTTGTCTTTTTAGTAGATGATCAATCAGAATCTTGTTTATAAAATTTGCAAAAAGATTGTATTCCATTTTAACATCCTACCCTGGGATATCAGTGGAAATTGGCAGATATGTGAATAAAGTGAAGCAAACCACATGCTATAAATCAGGTTAACATAGAAAATCTAATCAATTAATTATGAAAAAACCTGCATGTAAACACACTGATAGACCCACTTTAGATTAACCCTGAGCTCACCAGGCTCCAGCAACTTGTTGGTCATGTCCTCTAGTGATGTCACTTCCCGTTCCTGTGGGGCGTGGATAACCAGTAAGATGCTTCCCAGTATGCAGAGCAAACAACCAAGCTTCCCCACAACGTTCAACATCTCCCCCAACAGGTGGGACGACAGAACTGCACTGAAGGGAGAAAAAAAAAAAACAGCATTAATGTATTTATCCATTAATCCCATAGACAAAGAAAGAAATGTCTCGTTATTTAATCTGAACTCTACAGTATGTGTACAGAGTTAGAGTACGGTTTCGGTCTAACAGTGTGACCTTAAACAGTTTTTTTTAAATTTACTTTTAAGGAAGAATGTGCATTTTGATCCAGTAGATGTCGCCCAAAACAAACTGCTGTTTGGTGACACCTCCCCTACACTGAATCCTCCGCTCTCCCACAGCGACACACCTCCAATCCCTCAAATTGGAACGCACCATAATTAAGCACTAAGCGATAAGCACAAGCGGTGGACAAAATTGTCCTTGAATCGAGCTGCATTGTTGTGTTAGCTGGCTCATGGTAGCGCTCTTTAGTTAGCTCAAAGCTTCTCGTTGCATGTAAATTTACACGGATTGACAATGATCTAAAAACGCTTATGTGACATTTAAATAAGCAGTGAGTACAGCATGGAATTCTTCTTTTCTCTTGTCCCTCACTTAAACTGCTTCTATACACAATGGGATGGCCAGCCGTCCCGTCCGTGTAAACGAGCTGTAAATACGGCTTAGACAACATCACAGACCGTGGGTCTCGCCCTTCACACTCACTGTAAACAGTCATGACTCAGAGAGATATTTGCAGAGGATATACTGGATTTCTGCTGTATTTATGTGGAAAATGTTGCACATTCTGCCTTTAAAGACTCTCTGTGCTGATGGAGTGAAGCATAACTGAAACTTGAACTTTGTGAAGAAGGCTACCTGATGAGGACACTCAGAGCGCCAAGAGGAGTTACCAGGGTGGCAGGAGCAAACATGTAGGCGACAAAGTTACACACCTCACCAGCTCCCACTGCAGACACAGAGACAGAGATCGAGAGATAGAGAGAGAGAGAGAGACAGACAGAGGGAGATTGGAATCAACATGCAAATATTTTGTCAAAGCCCGGACAGTGTAATGTTTTTTTTTTAACCCTTAAATAATTGAACCCTTAAATAATAAAACATTTAAAATAGTTGACTTCTGGTCAACTTGACGATATGAGTCCAAAGGCTTTTTTTCTAGGTTCATCAAATTTCAGAATCCTAGGTTCAAAGTTCTTTGGGGGCTGACTTTTTTAAAAACATTGTAGGGGGCGCCACTGAGACAATACCAATATCAATTCTCTGATTGTTCTACCAGGTTTGGTGAATGTGCAACCTACTGTCTGTTTCATG